AAAAAGGTAGTGATTTTAAGGGCTTATTTGTACAAAAAAGGCAAAGAGGGGGCAATTATAGGAGTAAAAGGGCAGACAGGGTGGCCGCCCTTCTAAAAACGCTTAGGGAGAATACTAGGATATACATGTATTAATATTCAAATATCTTTCAGATATGTCAAGATCTGTTTTTTCACAAAAATATTCATCCTTTCTGGCGGAAAAAAACAGGCCGAATTTCAGAGAGTGGCATAGAAAAAGGTTTAAATAAATCGAAATGATAGAAAGCAAACACGTCTACACATTCTAAAAGACGGATTGCGGAAAAATATTGTTCCAAGTAAGACGAATTAAAGACGTAAATTGAACAAAAACGTTCTAAAACAGCGAATTTAAAGGGTTTTTTTGACAACGTGTGCCTGATTTTAACCCTGACCTTTTACCCTGATTTGCCCCTCTCGGCCACTGTGGTTTTTTTTTGTTCTCTTACTCATCTTTTTTGCTCCCTCGGCTACTATGGTTCTTCTAGTTTCTATTGTTTTTCTTTGTCTATAATCTTTAATATTCCATTCTTCGTAGACAATTTTACGTTTCATAATAAAAATCACTTTTGTTTCTTCTAGTTCAAGTCTGGCGAGTCATGAAAATGAGCTCCTATTTCTGAGCGCTGGAAACGTGTCTAGTATCATTTCCAATTTGTATATTTTTCAAACGAATAAACTTTTTAAACTAGTAACGTGTGCGTAATTGAGATACTCTGCCGATAAAATAACTTTATGAAATAGTTAAAAATAATAAAAGTTAAATTGAAATTAAAAAAAAAATAATTTATGAGTTTACTTCCTTGTAAGCTACATATTTCTAATTAAAAATAGCATTTTTCTGTCCTTAATTATAGCTCGGATTTCGAGAGGATGAAACAAAAGGAGAAATCGCAATTTGAGAAAATAGGGTCCCAATTAGGAAAGTAGTTGAAACTCGGAAGCTTCACTCCCTAATTATTATCTTACATTTTATGCTCCCTAATTATGTAAAACTAAAACTTTTTTACATACATTTTTTTAATGAACTCTCAAAAGTTTGAAACAATAAGCTGACAGCAGCTAATTCTGAAGTTTTTTTTATATCATGTTATATGCACTAAATATTCACAACTTATGCAGTAGATTTTTCAATTCAAATGAAATTCGCACTGCAATAATTTTTTTAATCATCAGAGTAGCTTTAACAATAAATCAGGGGGGTTGACTGGTTTAAACCAATATGATTTAAACCATAGTTTAAATTAAACGGTTTTTTTCTTCCAAAAACTAAGCGTGGTTATTTTACGAAAAAAATCGATCTTTTAAATAACCTAAGTTTCAATTATTTGCATAAATCTCTATATATTATATGCATATTTATGATAATAATATATTTTAAAATTTATATTTTAAGAAGCGAGATTAATTGCTGGTTAAACTATAATTGAATACTTAAATTTAGTATAAAACTGATTAGCTAGAAACTGATTAGCATATAAACATGCACACAATATTCAACATTTTAAAATTTATTTTCTTATACTATGGGCCTATTTTTGACAACAAAAAAAAACTTAAAACTTAAAAAAAAACTAACTTTATATTGTCAACTTAATCAGTTGGAATCCAAAAAATAAAAAATAGATAGAAACCATGAAAAATAATGCCATTGGCCTCGACCAATGGATTATTCTTGGGGTTAAATTTTCTAAGTATAGTTCATCTCTTTTTAACGAATTTATTTCCTTAATTTTACGTGGCGCAGGAGATAGAGCTTTCACCCCACCCAATCAGGTGACGCAGGTTCGAATCTCAGAGGTGACTGGTAGATATGAATTCTGCTCCCCAATCTCACCGATCACAGTGCTAGCATAAATATCCTCAGTGGTAGACTGATCATGGATTAGAATCCCCTTGTCGTGGGAGGTTTTCGGCGTTTTCATCTCCAAGTAAGGCAAATGCGGTTAGTTCCAGAAGGCTAGTTTGTCCTAATGCGTGATCCAAGAATTCTCATATCTTCTGGGTTGGGTTCAAAATTACAAGGCTGCGAAATTAAACATTCTCTTTCGTCGGAAACTCAGAATTGGATCGGCTGCTCAACGCTGGTTATATAATAAAAAGTAAAACCATTGGGAGAAGCAGCAAATAATAAAAAAAAAAATTTGAAATTATTTTTTGTTTCATGCTGACTTTTAGTTTTGTGTATAGTTACGTAGTAATACGTATAATAGTTACAGATGTATTTCTTATGTTTCATTTTTTTACCTCATACAAAGAGGTATCCAACTAGTTGAAAAATAATACAGCTACAAAATTTACGTTTAATTTTTTATAATTTTCTGAAAAATATATTTTACCACAATCTTTTTACCTTATTTTATGATTTTAATAAAAATAATTGATTCTTACAAACATAATTATAAACTTTAATCTATTTTATGAGCTTCCAAATGAGAATGATTTTCTTTTTTTTATTATTACTTTTTCTAGTCTTGTCCTAAAATTTTATCGTCTGAGTTAGCATTTTTAACAGAAAATTCGTTATCGTTTGAGTTGATCTTTAAACAAGAAATTTTTATCGTCTTAGTTAATATTTTTAGCAAGAGTACAAAAATTTTTTTATCGTTTGAGTTGAACTTAAAACAAGAAATCTTTATCGCTTTAGTTAATTTTTTAACAAGAAAATCTTGATCGCCTTGAGTAAGTCTTTTTAACAAGAATATTTATTTTCTAAAAGAATATCTCTAGAATGTTTTATTTCTAGCGTCTCTGGATCTGATATAATTGCTTCAATTAGGTTACTTTAACAGATCCTATGCGAGTTGTTCTAATGGGAGTTTCGTTGTACCGTTATTCACATTCCACATCCATCCCCAAAGGAGGCCAAACGATATATTACATCACCATTTAAGCTTCCTCGGGGATCAATTCCAGCTGTTTACTTTCTCAAAGGTTTGTTTATATTTGCGCTATTCCTCATTTTTTAATAGACGTTTACAAAACTTAGGATTGACTTGAAACAAATATAACGTAACGTAATACATTTTTTGAACTCATAAATTAGCAATGTATGTATACAAAGGGCGAAAAAATTTTATTTTACGAACTAAAACTTCTATATTCAAATGTGATGTGCTTATTTTTTCCAAAATAACGCTATTCTTACAAAATCTAAAAGGAATAGGTTATGGATTTATTTACTTTTTTTCAATATTTAACTTATTTATGATAATGAGTGTGTTTCATATATTTTTTTTAGAGTTTTATAATTTTTTAAGGTTTAAATTATTCTGATTAATACTTAACAAAAATTCTAATGTAGAAAAAAATCGACCAATATGATAGTATTTTCTTTATCTATAATTTATTGCATGCAACACAGCTATTTTGGAAACAAAGATCCAAATTTTCTCTTGATTCAATTTATTTTCCGTATTCTGCAAATTAAGAAAATTAAGACAAAAAATTTTACCTATTTAATAATTATTCTAATTATTTTTTTTATTTCTTTGTAAAACCCAAATGCTGCATTTATTTACATAAATATTTAGTAACAATAAATCAAAGGGTGTCAAAACAGAAAAAGCTGCTAATAATCTTTTGAACTGTATTAAAAATATTTGTTTCTTTTAAAATTGTTTTTTATTCGAAGTATGAAAAAAAGTCCACGTAATTGACTTTAAACTATTATTTTACAATAGTGAAACCATGACATAGTTTTAGAGAATGTTTAAATGAAGCAATTTTAAATTCAATTTTTGGAAACAGGAGATATTAAGATTAAAAAAGGAACTTTAAAAATGAGGCACTTTAGGCAATTTAAAAATTGCTGAAGAAATTTAATATTACTTGATGCGAGAAAACTGCTTCATACAAGTACCATGAATTATAGAAAGAATAGGTAATGTAATGTAAAAATTTCCCTAAAATAATTAAACTTACAAAAAATAGAAAAAACTATAAAAATAAAAAAGCGTTCTAAAGAGATGTACAAGTGATATTAATCATTTAAAATAACTTTTCTTGCATTGATTCAAAATTGTTGACAAACTTTAAGGAAGTTTCATACGGTTCAATTATTTGTTTTCCTAGCTCAAACTTGTTTTAAGAAACATAGACCTAAATAAAATAGTTTTCATTACCCGATTTGTTGCATAACTTTCAAATATTTTAGCATAAGTTTTATCATAGTGGTAATGAAAAAAAATTAAAATGTCTGAAAGCAAAGAGAAATCTTTTTAATTGTACATAAAATAAAACTGATAAAATAAAACTGATTGGACACTAGCGTTCCTTTTATATATATATTTTTTTCTGAGACGCTAATTACAAGTAAAAATATAATTTAGTATTTATTGATTATAAAAAACAGTCTAAGAGTTACTAAAAAATCTATTAGATTATCTGAATTAGATTTGTATAGTAATATAAAATCCAAAAAACGTAGCTAGTAAATTTTTCATCATTCGTATTCAATAATTTATCAAAAATTGATTTTGTAAGTTAAAGAAGTTTCAATTATCAATAATAGTTTCTCTAAGATCTAAATAACTACAAATCAGTGCAAATTTGAAAAATTATTGTTTGGAAGTGAATCGTGTTTAGAAGATTTTTACCCTTAGCGCAGAAAAAAAAGGTGTTTCATGCTGAATTTCATAACCATGAATTATTAAATTACAATATTTTTCCACTTATGTTGACTTTAATGAATATAAAAGAATGAAAAAAAAAGAATAAAAAATATGCTTAATCAAAATTCTGCTTGAAAGAGTTAAATGCTCGAACAATTAATTTCAAAACTGTTTTAAATCAAATCAAAATTGTTTTAATTCTAATTTACAAAACTATGCACTAAATATAAAATAATAAACATTTCTAAATGTTGGAAATGCTGTTGGAACATAGCGTTTTTGCATTTTAATTAGCATTATCATACGTGCATGCATAACATGAAAATGCGTTAATATCAAGAATTAAAATTGCAGAAAATAACCTCACCTTTCTCTGAGCTCTTTTAACTTTACAACAGCATCAGCAATCGAAGTTATCTGTTCATCTTGATCACTTGGTTGATTATCCGACATAATCCGCCAAACGATTAATCCAATTTTGAAAAAAATAAAAACGATCAACAAAAAGTGACGATAATATTCATGAATAAAAGTGAGAAAAATTTAAACGCTTTTCATTAAGCACATCATACAATTCTGCATTTTGTACCGCTCTTCATGATGAAATATGCAATGACAATTTTTTTTTTCACAGAACAATCCTTTCGAAAATCCTTGCATCACTGAAAAGGATGCACCAGCAACCTGTTCCGGGAATATTTAGTATCGATTGAAACTTTTCCTACAATGCAAACGATAGTCCCGTAAAACTTATCCCGATATCTTTTGCTTTCGAGATTATGGAACGTTTTCTCCAATGAAAATTCAGAGAATTGAATGCCAAAATTTATATTCACAAAAAAAAAGATTATTACTTTTCTGAGAAAGAGAAAGATTATTAGTTTTCTTACACAGAAACTATCGCAGATGATGCTTAGGAGCTTTGTGAAAAGGACAGACGGCCAAAACGTAAACTATTGCAATTTGGCGCCAGTAACTTGCGCCAAATGAAGCGACACAATTTCTCTTTCATTTATAAACGATGTAAGTTGCATATGCCGTTAATGTAGTCGATAAACTTGTTTTCACATCTATTAATCAGTAAGAAGAAAAGTAGAAGTTAACGCACGTCTAAACGTTACAGGATTTCCTCAGATAACGGCAATAGATGTTAATTAGGGATTTTACTTGATACATTTAACTTCTTTTATAAATATTTAGTAAATGTTAACAAAGTAAAAAATAATAAATATAATCTCCGCGTGAAGAATGCATGCCAGACGGAAAAAGTTTCACACGTTAAAGGTAGTGTTCTAGAAGTCCCTTCTTTTTTTCTTAACTACAAAGGCTCTCTAATACTAAATTAGAGTGAATTTCGATTTATTTAAAGTTATTCATGGAACTAAAATGTGCTTTTGGCTCCTTTGCGCTGTTGAATAAAGATGTTATAAACGATATTTTCATTGAAATTAGTAATGCAAATGTTCTTTATTTATCAAATTGCAAGCAATCGTTATTATATTTATTGCAAATGATAATACAATTTTGAAAACTCTCATCAGGAAATATATGCACATTTTTTAAAGAAAAAATAATTAATATAGAGAGTGGGAAAACATTTTTGTTTTTAAAAAAAGAAGGTTGTGAACAATCAAAATTATTGTATTAATTTTTTACGTTATTTAAGATATTTCGAAGTATTTTTAAAAACGTCACTAAAAAAATTCTGTCAAGCTAAACACCCCAAAACTTTAATACTTAGTTGATTTAAGATTTACAGCAAGTGTATTATTGATGTTTATTGATGTACAGTGCATTAAAAAACCCCGAATAACTTTCGATCTAAATGATTTTCACGTACTGTGACTTAAATATTATGCACTTAATATTAAGTCATGTACTATGACTTATTTCATGTACTATCCCTTAATATTAAGATTACTTTTTGCTTATTTTGACGTATCTCCAGAGATAATGAAGCGCGAATCGAAAATTTTTGAGCACTATTAAAAAATTCGATTTTCCGAAGAATATAACCTTTCATTTTATTTATATGGACAAAAAATTTTGAATTATAAGACATAAAAAATTTTGCACCATTTTCAAGAGTTAATTTTATATGACAAATTAAAAAAAATTGGGCTAAATCGATTTTATAATTCTTGCGAAATCAAATTTTAAATTTAAGACTTTTTCAAAATTCGATTTCTCGGGTACTATTCGACCGATTTAATTTAAAGAATACATTTTACCACCCTCTTGAGTTTCTAAAATAAACAAATAAATATTAGATTGTCAAGCATACAATTTCTAGAAAATAAAGTAGACTAAGTTTCTAGTTCTACTTTTATTTATTTATTTTTATTATAAGCATTCTAAAAAGGACTTACCATTGCTAAAAATATGTATATTGTCATAACAGAAGTATAAAGTACACTGACTGAAAATTACTGCTTTTGGGAAAATGTCTACAAAAAAATACAAACTCTAGTTTCAGTTATAAATATGCCATTATAACACTGCATGTAAATTAGTATGTAAATTATGTGCCCCCTCCTCCCCGCCCGTCCGAACTGAACTGTCAATGATGTTGAAAAGAGAAGGAAAAATCTAAATAAGCTTTTAATCCTCGTTATTTCATTTTTGAAAATAGATTGATGTATACAGTGCTCAAAATAAAAAACGGTCCACCCTAAATAACTTTTGATCTATTGATCGGATCTTAAGGTTTTAGGACTCAATCTCAAAGGTTCGACGAGGTGACCTGAAATATGCTAATGAATTAGTGCAGACGATACTGTAAGTTACGAAATCATACACAAAACGTACTTTCGCTTAATAATACGTCCAGCAGTGGACTAATCGTAAAGACACAGTTCCCAGCAGAACACCAAAGTCAAGCATCACAGGTTGCGGTCAGTAAGCTGGTGGGTGACCAGTTTCATCTGTCCAAGTAGGGTCCGAGGGTGTGCTGTATCGGTCCTCGTTAAACTGTTCAACCGTAAATTGCTCGACTTCGCGCGCAGGTCATCAAGCTACCAAATCGGAGGAGCCATTCCCTCTGCAGAGGATCAAAATTGTAATGGCATGTCTTCGGATCATCTTTGGGGATGCTTCCCAGACCGCTGCCAATAACCCATTGTGCAGCGCTAGTGCGACGTAAATAAAATACCTATCTACCTGAATAAACATACCTTTTTTTGACGGATTCGGATTTCTGATCCTCAAAATATAGGGGTTAGCCGCAATCTAGAAAATATGATCCCCATAGTTTGGTAGTCCCGCAGTGGACTGATCGTTAAGACACGGTTCCCAGCAGATCACCGAAGTCAAGCATCACAGGTTGCGGTCAGTAAGCGGGTGGGTGACCAGTTTCATCTGTCCAAGTAGGGTCCGAGGGTGTGCTGTATCGGTCCTCGTTAAATTGTTCGACCGTAAAGTGCTCGATTTCGCGCGCAGGTCGTCAAGCTACCCAATCGGAGGAGTCATTCCCTCTGCAGAGGATCAAAATTGTGATGGCATGTCTTCGGATCATCCTCCCGTCGCCAATAGCCCATTGTGCAGCTCTAGTGCTACGTAAATTAACAACAACAACCATAGTTGGGTCAGGAGAGCGGTCCAACGTTTGGACCCCTTAGTGTCAATTTTATTTATTGCATATTTCTTTATATCTCGAGATTTGTTTAAGCAAATTGAATAATTTTTGCACACAATTATATAATTAATTCATCCAAATATAATTCCATGAAGAAAAAAAAGCTTTTGATAATTATTTATTATTTTATTTAATAATAGGCAAAAACATTTTTGAATTGTAAGGTATAAAATTTTTTACGTAATTTTAAAGAATGTAATTTTGCATGGCAAAATACAAAATTTGAGCGAAATCGGTCGTATAGTTAAGAAATCGAATTTTAAGAAGCCGAACTAAAACTCACTTCACACCACGAACTAACTGCTGAATGTTTTACATTTTAGAGAAACAAAATCTTTATTACTTATAAATATTTCCCTACGAGAAACATTTCTCCTGATCTAATAAAGCGACTATCTTTATTTTCAATCTTTTCTGAAAGGTGATGTCGAGTCAAAAATACACCGAGAAAACAAGAATGAAAAATTTGATCTAGAATCTGTGATGGAGAGGTAAGAAGTATCTAATAAAAAAGTCATTTGCTTGTCATGGCAATAAATCAAATTGTTTACAAAAATAAAACGCTTAACTAAGAAAGAGTTTAACGCCAAACACACAACATCGGATTATATAATAAATATTCACAACAGTTAGACAATTGGTTTTTCTTTGCCACGTGTCAAGATGACAAATTTCAGATAATATATATTTTTTCTTTAAGTATAAAGGGGTGAATAAACTCTTAATAATGGGGAAAAACATAGGCATGTAACATTTGACAAGTGAAAGTTCACATCAATGTCATGCCAATCTTCATCAATTCTAACTCCATAAGGTAAATCTACGCTGATAAACAAACTTTAAAGAGTACAGCGAACTCAAAAGATTTAAATATATGCACTGTCAGATGCTTACTGTCAGGTAACTTTATGGGCTTGATCGTTTGAAAAAGAAATGTAAGCTTTAGAATTTTTTTTAATAAACAATTTTGAAACCAAAACAAATAATATTTTGCTTCACAGATTAAAAAAAGTTAAAATTTTGCGGCATCGAAAATAAGGACTTTCATTGGCTGCAGTTTCAACTATAATAGCAGGGACGAAGCCATGACGCACGTGTCAGACATTGACCCACGAATGATTTTAAAACCGTGCACGCTTTGCCTTAACTTTCTTATTCATAAAAACGCAGCCTGTTAAAAATATAAAATATTAAAGTATAATTATGCAAGGTAAAAATTATACCTAAAAAACCTATTTCCGAGTGAGCTTTGGCCTATTGACTTTCCATTGTATCGATTTTTCATGAACTTAGCCATTGCCTCCCAACAATGAAGTTCAAAGATGGTGAGAGGTTGCGCATCGTTGGCCATCACTTGGTATGCGATTGTAAATAGCCAACAAATGAAAGTATAGTTTTCAACGACAAAGGTAGGAAAATTTTGAGTTAAGATTAATTATTGTAATATAAATCGTAATTTTTGTTTAAACTATTTAGGGAAACCTTTCTCTATAATTAAAACTAATATTTTAAACAGGAGATGGTTTAGACATGAGCCATAGCCAATAATCCCATCCATTAAAGGTATCTTTAAGATTATGAACAACCAACGACCTGTGCGAGAAGTCGAGCACTTTAATTTCGAACAATTCTATCCAACACATTCTATCACTTCGCTGATCAAATTGGTCACCCACCTGCTCACTGACAGCTGAAAATGATACTTGACTCCGGTGAGCCCTGAACTGTGTGTTACGATTAATCTTCTCTGGTTATTGTAAAATGATATTGCAGTGAGAGGTAATAAGGTAAAAATATTAAGAAATTTTTGACGTTTCCAAATTATTAATACTGTAGGAGCCCTAAAAAATTCGGATAACTTAACAATGGGTAAAAAGTAGCACAACGAGATCAACTGGGTACTTGCAACTCGAGAAGAAGTGAAATGATTATGCTTAACCATGTGATGATTTAAATCAGATTTAATTGGATACTTGTAAGCGACGTCACTTGTGTGTGTTGAAACTGATTGGCTTCAGAATCGATATAACTACGATGACGTTACTTGCAAGTATCCAATTAAAAAAATGCAAACGACTATTTTGAAACTTCTAAGAGTTGTTTGAGGAAATGTAGACAGCCTGTTACGGGAAATTATAATAAGTTGTTGTTAGGAAAGCTGAACACGTCCCGTTACGGAAAAAGAAATATATGAAGCTTTGAATAATATCATCGGCCAAGAATTTCTAGTACTTGTTACTGATATTTGTACAGAATGAATTAGAATCGATGTTTTGTTAGAAATGTTGATAAGCTTCTAAATATATTAAATAAATGTTTTTTCATTTATAAAATAAACTGGCTCTTTAGGTATAGAATTCGACACAGTACCCTTTTTTACTTTCTCCCTTCCAAGTGGCACCATTAAA